GCGGCAGCGTAGCGCGCCGTCGTCACGGCTGACCCGCCGCCCACGATGCGCCCCGCGGCTCCAGACGGCAGTAAGCGCGCCTCGTCACTCGGCCGACCGCCGCCCACATGTGCGCTCGGCCGCAGAGCGGCAGGTAAGCGCGCCGTCGTCACGGCGACGCCATCTTTACATGCTAGCAATAAGCACGTGATGTGGTATTAAATAGGTGTATAACATGAGTGCCCGGACATGCTAATTAAGTAACGTGCGTGGCTTGACGTATAGTAAGTGCAGACACGCAATCGCACTAGCTGTGATACATAACTACAGAGAGATGCTGCTTAAAGTGTAATAAAATAGTTAAAAGAAAAAAATCATTTCACTTTTCACAAAATGTAAAATTCTGTGATTTTTAGCGGTTAAATTGCTCATTATACTTCCTATTTGATATATATGTTATGTAAACATACACTCGTTGGACTCATACATATGTCCAAGCCAAGCAATTAATGTCAGATCATAATGTCCAAATCGTCCAGGTTTTTTGGATTTTTAGCGAGTTAAAATCTTATCAAGATAAGAATTTGACGATACATTTAGCCGCGTTAGTACTTACTTTAGTGTAAAGAAATCGCGCAACAAATTTTTTAAAAATATTACACCAGATAATTTGCGACTAGTCAATTTAAAGTCTGATTACACGTGTTCCTAGTTGTTCGCACGACGTGTTCACGATGCAGGAGCCGTCTTGCCATTTGTAGTTCACTCGTCAATGTCGCAGTGGAAAGCGGCATACATTCGTGAAGCTCAAGCATTCGGTTCTGCAATCGTCCCACATCAAGGGAAAGAGTGTTCATAGCCTCTGGCGCGACGGAACGTTGCGGTGTTTCACGTGCGTTCCGGTATGCGTAGTCTATTTATCGACCATAACGTTGAACGGCCGCAAAACGCGTAACCTTAGAACAAAGTAAATTGAACTAAAAATAAACAAATAATTATGTTAAAACAAAAATAAGCTCAATCTAAATTGCTAGCCGTGACTTGGCCCAACAAGAGTACCTCTAAGCTTACTTAATGCTGCAATGATGTTCATCTATAAACTAAGTGAAACAATGTTGATATTCCTGCACCCATGCTCTTTAACGGTTGCACCACACCGTAAACAATAGCATGCCATATCATCGTAAAGTCAACACGCGCCGTGCAGGCTCTTCACGTTATAGTAATCGCTGTTTGTCTGAAGCTCAACTTGCTCCTGTTCCTACCTAGCATGGTCAGTGGACCGAAGCCAGCTACAATCTCATTGACCTGGCGCGACCTCACCACACATCCGCTGCATGACCGTCGTCATTCGACAACATCTGGTGGGATACAGCGAACAGGCTGCACCTCGTCAATTCAAACGACCTCGAAGTAGAGGTGCGGTGTGCGTGGTGTGTGTGTGTGTGCCTCTCACGCCTCTCCGTCGCAATCGAGAAAGTCTTGGTGATCGATGGAAAGCGTTTGAATTCGCTTACTCATTTAATTATTAATATTTGAGTTAACATTTAATCACTATTTTTAATTACTTTTCCGCACGTGCTCTAGTAATAGCGTTTTTCAGTCACTCTTCTATTATACTCCGTTATTCCTTAATATACTTGAAAAATCCACCTCCCCTCTACTTGACTTCGTCCTCTCTCGTCATTCTTGACACTCCATTTCCTTTCGGTGAGGCTCCCCTACTCAACCAGCCCCCCCCCCCCGCCCGACTTGCTAGCATACTAACAACTGTAATGTACGCAGTCATTCTGTTGTGTATAAATAAGACCGCACGCCTGGTTAGGAAACAAGTGTACTCGATCGCATGCGCATTGAAATCCCACGCTGATAACTCGGTGATTCGGCCACCCCTAATTTTGGGTTCCAATTAACATTTTATCCCGTATGATATTCCTGCTGTGAGTGCGTGTGTGCTCGTGTCAGCCACCGTCACATACCTGCCGTTCGCTGCTGCAGATGTCGTTTGATGGCACCACGTTAAGGAGAGTTCAGGTGCCGTCAGATGCGTTGGGTCGGCGACGGCGTGTGGATCTCGATCACGGCTCGACTCGACGCTGCGTCTCTACACGCGCACACGCACCAGGCACCTACAGGACGTTCACATCGAACCCTACGTTAGCAAGATTGTCGGTAGTGGAGCCACGCCCACAGACAGCAATCTATGTTGGCTGTTGTACTCGCGAAATAGTTCATTTTAACCGCCTGTAAAAAATAATTTGATCGCGGTTAAATTATGGACCTTTGCCCAATCAGATGCCTTTTACACGTGCATTTTTAATTGCCGGATAAGATAGTTATTCGCGGTTAAATTATGTTGACCGCGAAATATTGTGCCGAAATTATTATTTCGTAGAATGATGCGCCAAACATACGCGTCCCTGCGTGCGGTGCGTACGGCTGCGTGTGGCTGTGTGGTTTTATACATGCCAACGTGCGTGTATGCGAGCGTGCGGTGTTATGCGAGGTGTTTGCGGTGCTGCCTGTGTGTGAGCATTGCGCATGCTTGCGTCGTGGCGTGTGCCTGTGGGGCTTGTTTACGTGTAGCGTGCGTGGCGTGCTTGCGTGTGTGCTGTGGTTTTGATGTCATGCGGCAGGCGTTGTCGTTGGGTCATGCGATGTGGTGGTGCTTGGGTGCTGATGTGCTGCCTGCTGTGCCTGCTGTTGTCGGTTACTGCTGCTGCTGTCTGCTACTGATCTGTTGTTACTGCTGCTGCTGTTGCTTCTCTCTGTTGTTGCTGCTTTGCTGCTTGCTGCTGTTCTGCTGGCGTTGCTGCTGTTACTGCTGCTACTGCCATAGTGTCGTGTTTGGTTTTTGTTTGAGGTTACTATGTTTGCGCGGGTGTGCGTGTGTGCGCGCGTGTGTGCGTGCGTGCGTGCGCGCGTGTGTGCGTGCGTGCGTGCGCGCGTGTGTCCGTGCGCGTGTGCGTGTGCTTTCGTTCGTACAGGTAATCGGACTGGCTCTTAAGGTGCTTGCGTGAATACATCTATAGAGACAATATTTTGTCATTTTTAATATTTTCATCTAATGCTACAATTTATAGCTCTATCTTGAAAGAGCAGAACAATCTAATTTCATCTTAGGACTATGACTTTCCTACACTGTGGGAACTATGAGTCCATAATTACCTAACACACCAGAGTGTTCATGTTAAGCTACTGGTGAGTATATAATATATATATATATATATATATATATATATACACACATATATATGATGTGTATGTGTGTGCGTGCGTGCGTGCGTGCGTGCGTGCGTGCGTGCGTGCGTGCGTGCGTGCGTGTGTGTGCTTTCGACTTTAAATGTATAATATCAGGAGTAGATAATTGGGAATAATAGGGAATGATTCCCTATTATCTACTCCTGATAATATTAATAAAATTATCTTTCAGCAAATGCTGGGCATACACGAACATACATCTTCTATGCTATATCGTTGTGAAATTAAGGAAGACTTACTTGATTTGTTTATTTCGGAAATTATCAATTAATAAATGACAAACGATATGCACATAAATAAAGTTGCAGCTGTATTACTACATAACACTAAGAAAAATTACACAAAAAAGTTTGACAAGCACGCCTATTTCAATTCCGGCATGCAGTTCTAATCAATAATAATAATAATAATAAAAATCTCTGGGTTATAGAATAGCCACAGGGCAGTGAATCTCCTCAGTGTGTAAAAGCATGTCTCCTAATTGACATTGGGGATTGTATCCATCGTGGTTCGGATGATCATGCAAAATGGCCGACTCACCCGTCTCCAGTAATTGAGGCGCAAAAGAACCACTGGTCACGAGAAAATTACTCTGGCAGTGACCACTCTGAGTTTGAGCGCTAGAGGTAGGCCTATAGTGTGCTCTAGGGCTAAGTAGTGAATGAGATCTCAACTATATACATCTATAAGCCTATAGTTATTTTAACTTATTTACATGCAGATGTACTACCCTGCAACTATATCCCGTGTAGGAGACACAGTATCAGAGCTCAACATATAACATAAAATGATATAAAATATAGCATAAAGCAACATAATATAATATAGCATACCATACCATAACATAACTTATTATAACGCAACGTAACACAACATAACATAAAATAAAATATCATAATATAAAATAACATCACATCAGATCACATAACATAACATAACATAACATAACATAACATAACATAACATAACATAACATAACATAACATAACACAGCATGTCATACCATAACATAACTTATTATAACGCAACGTAACATAACATAGCATAGCAGTACCTGCCTACCTGGCATTAGCTACTACGGCCGTAACCTGAACGAATTCATTCGTGGGTATTTCGCTACATAACTATAGATAATAAATGGGAAATCCCGCAGAGTAACCTCGATCTCTTAGAATATGATGAAGACGACGAAAAAATACGAGAAGTAGGAGGAGGAGGAGGGGGCGGATGAGGAGGAGGAGGAGAAAGAGAAGAATAAGAAAAAAAAGAACACTAAGAAGAAGAAGAAGAAGAAGAAAAAAGACGAAGAGGAAAAAGGAGAAGAAGGCGAAGAAGACGAAGAAGAAGAAAGAGGAGGAGGAGATAGAAATGACGAAAATAAGAAGGAGATGCAAAAAAGGCAGAACGATACTGTTGCGGTACGGGAAGAGAGACATTGGAAATTTGTTTTACTAGGGTTTATATACTAACTTATACGTTAGATATAGTAATATATAATGTATTCTATTAGCAATATATAAGATAACCACTATGTCAGTTCGTATATACACAAACTGCTCCGTTAATTCATCTGACTGCATTATGGGAAATTCGGATGCGCGGTGCTTTCTGGGAAAGCACATCTAAATGACGTCATCACGTTCAGCGAATCTGTCTGGTTTCGCAGTTGTGTTGTAGGCAGAAGGCCAAGAGGGATCGCTGACAGTTGTGATGTCTCGTAAGATTTCCTTTCCTCTGCACTAGCTGAAGACGTGTAAAGGTATGTAAATTTACCCAATTGTTGGTGATTTCTGCTGAATGAAGGATTACTCATTAATTTACACGGCTAATGTCTAATGAATAAATCAGTCTGATTTTATTCGCTGGACTATCTCGCGACAGTCAAGGTAGATGGGCACCGGTAAAATTTACATTTTGCAAGCAGATCTAGTACAACAATATTTTTCAACTACTCTGGTTGTTTTCCTATAGTATACTTACTAGCTCTACGCTGTAATGTGGTCATATGTCTCAGAATCACCTTCAAAATTATCGGTTATCTGCTATGATAATGTGTTACAACTGTAGACGTGTGTATTTGTGTTACACCAGTCTAGACTATAGTTTCACATTGTATCAAACAGTATCACTTAGATCAGTATTCACATTTAGTTACATTAAGCAGGGAATGCAAGCCTGGCACTAGCTGGACATGCGTCTGGTAAATATGAAGTTATTGACTGATGTGCAGTTTGCACGGGTGATCCTAGCCTTAGAACTATAGCCCTCCGCTCCGCCGCAGGGCTATAGAACATACTATGGTAATTTCCAGGGAGTAAGCAAAGAACTTTTTGCGGTTAATAACTTCTTCGGTATGCCAAATAAAGCACATTCTCTGCCGCACAAATGTCTTAAGTTACTATAAACACGCAAATTAAACCGCAAACTAACGCTTAAATGTTGTACTTGCTATATTACTCGTCAACGAAGATTGTTTACCAACTTGTAACTGCCATTTTTTACTAGTGAGCGAGCACAATATATTTCCAACTTCAAGTGGAGGGTGGGCAGGTTGCACGCGGTTGCAAACCGCGCTGGCGCTGCGCAACGAAAAATGGCGGTCTGCAACCGCGTGCAACCTGCCCACCTCTCCACTTGGAAATACATTGTGCCCGCTCACTAGCGCGATTAGCGAAAAATGGCAGTTACAAGTTGGTAAACAATCTTCGTCGACGAGTAATATAGCAAGTACAACATTTAAGCGTTAGTTTGCGGTTTAATTTTAGTGTTTATAGTAACTTAAGACATTTGTACGGCAGAGAATGTGCTTTATTTGGCATACCGAAGAAGTTATTAACCGCAAAAAAGTTGTCTTTGCTTACTCCCTGGAAATTACCATAGTATGTTCTATAGCCCTGCGGCGGAGCGGAGGGCTATAGTTCTAGAGCTAGGATGATCCTAGTATATGTCGTATGTATGTCTTACATTGAAAGACTGTGCATATTTCAGGGGTCGAAATTAGCGCTATCCCGATATCTGCGCGATAGTAGATTCTTGTGTTGGATACCAGATTTCAATGCTTGGTATCCTGCCGGGATAGTAAAAAAAAAAATCGGGATAGTGGTTGTTGAGTTATCAACTTTATACGGCAGCGCATCTGAGCGAGTGTACGTAGAGCGAGTGTACGCGATCTGATCATAAATGTGATGTGTATACATTAATTGTATCAAGCGAAACAGACAATGCATCTAGACATAGTCTAGACAATACGTCTGCAGTGTACTTGTCTGTGCATATCTGTGAATCTGCTTTTGTGTTTTTATGTAATAATTACATTACATATAAATAATTTTCAAATGCTATTATTGCATATTTAAAGATTTTGGATACCAACAATGTTGAAATTACTATCCAAAAAATGGGATACCAGATCTTTGGGGGGGGGGGATACCAAATTTCAATACCTAGTATCTCGAATGGATACCATAATAAAAATATAATTTCGACCCCTGTATTTAAGTTAGTAGTAGGTACAGCTTGGTTGGTCTAAGTGGGATGGTGGATCTGTGACTTTCACTAAAGGGCAGTGCACACACACATACACAGGGTGCGAAATTAACGGGAGTCTGGAGCCAAATACTCCCTGATTTACTGTCGGACTCCCTGATTTGACATATGCAGGAGTCGGTGTGACTCCCTGAAAATTCTGTCATACTAACTAGTTCGTTTCAGAGAATGGCCTCACGGAATTACCATATTTTTCAGCTAATGTCCAAAGAAAATTTGGCAGACGTGCAACCGCATGAATCTTAAAAACAAGCACATGCGTTATTGTTAATATCTTTAATTTTGAACCTCAGACTGCGGACTCCCTCATTTGGCTACTATTTTTGAGGTTGGACTCCCGTGTTCAAAGGTTAATTTCTACCCCTGCATACATATATACTGCCTTACACATTTGGATGTACGAAATATGGAAACCAGGGAAGACATGGACGGGATACGTGACGTGGAATGATAGACTGGAACTAGTAGCAGTATTTCTGAATTGCCATCAGCTGGGGTGTACTAGTATGCATATGTTTGTTACAGTGACTATACTTCTGTTGATTAGCTATTCTTTTAACTAGTAGTGGTTGATTGATTGTGAAACGATGTCCACGATGTAATTCACAATACTGCTTCACATGAATATCGATATGCTATTTATATATGCCAAAACGAAATCTGCGTTGACATCAAGTTAACATTCATCTGGTTGTCCAAATCTGTGTTGGATGCACCAAGCATATTTTCGTGTGATAATTTGAGCATACTGATTTGGCAATGCCATATTCTACTTCTGATCCTAGTATCTACTCCTGATTATAGTTATTTATTTGACCCTTCAGCTTGCATATTGTGATGGTTTTATTGCTGTATTATGTAACATATCGTGATACGTATTGATGTTATTATATAGCGTGGCCTTAGTATCATGTTACGTATCATAATATATGAGACTAGGCATATCATTGCAGCTTTATTAACTAAGGCCTTAGAGTGGTACTGATATGTTTACTGTCTCTTGTTCCTAATGTATATAAATTATATACAGCTAAATGAAATTCCAACACTTGAAAAGCTCTGAAAACCGAAAGTTTTTTCGTGGAGTATCACTCAAGCATGACATGACAAATAAGCTGTGATACTATTTATAGCATTTATTTATCCGACTCGATGTGTAAAAAAACACATTCATGAACACCCGGGGCAGGGGGGGGGGATCAATCTCTATTAGAACATTACCCCATGTGCATTCTCACTGAAAATAATAGGCCCCCTAGTGCGAACTGCACATTGGAAAACCCTACCCCCTATTGCAGACACAATTGAAGAATACCACCCCCTATTGCATACACAATGAAAATATCCCACCCCCTTATTGCATACACAATGAAAGAGTCCTACCCGGGGTCCTACCCCCTATTGCTAGGCCTTGCAGACAAGTGGAGGGCAAAGAGTGGAGGGAATACTTGTGATCAACTCAAAGAAGACTACTTGCAACTCTCGTGTGCTACGGGGCCGCCCGGTCGGGGCTTGGGGCGGGGTACTATGTGGTTCGTCATGAGGGGGGCCTACTGCGGGCGCGGTGCTTGACTTGAACGATCCCGAGGGCTTATTGCGGGATTAGCTTTGTAAAGGGGGCCTATTTGCTCCCGCGCGGGCCCGCTTTAAAAGTTGAAAAACACCCCCTTAACTTGCAAAATTTGGAACGCACATGGAGTAATAACGGCATACATCGTGACCCCCCCGGGCATGCACATTTATGAGGTTCACTGGAGAAATGGTAATGTGTTTGCTTATGGGGTGCTGCCACGGACCCTGCTATAGTGTTACCATAATGTATGGTACACACATGTATATCATACTAAGTACTGTTCTGTAATCTAAAAAAATACGAATTTCAAAATACATCTGACCCAAGGGTTTTGCATATATATATACTCGAGTCCTTTCCCTATTTGCCGTTATATATTGGTAATAGCCTAAGAGTTCAATTAGTTTGAAGTAGGGCTGAAACATTTCCGATATCCTGAGTTTCGGCTGGCGCTAAACTGACCACACAAATTATGATCAGAACTAGCTGCCCAGAAACGGAACTTCAAAATAGTCTATTGGCATCAGGAATTTGTAGTAAAAAATGAACTTTTTCTAATGAAGTATTTGAGCTCTAACTGAATCAATCTGACTGGATTCAAGTTCCATTGCACACCTAGTTAAAACCATCTTCATAATAGCGACTGTCAAGTAATTAATTCTGTGGTCAATTTGCTAGATAAGAAACTCGAGTGCTGAGTGATGGATATTATATTGAAACTTACACCCTTGAGATATTTTCTATTACTATTTGACAATTCTAGACAAAGCACATGCCTAGCAAAAAACAGTAATCGTATTTAGGATTGCAGAATGTTATCACGACATTTGGTGTGTGCGTGTAGCATTATTTGATGTATCGCTATTTTCAGGTGAAGCTACTATATACTTGGCTGGATGACACATTCAGATGTCACTGAGTAACGCTGACGTGCTCTCGTCATTTGGCATGTAGGAAACGAGGAAAAGAAACCTTACGCAGGGTGTTAGTCAGCTGGCGTGACCAAGGTCGATCACGAGGGGAAAAGAAAATTTTGTTACTGCGATCGAAAGCTGCGACACTGCGATGCGAACCTGTCAAGTCACGGCCTGAGACACAAACACGCACACACACAAACACGCACCGTCGGCGATAGTCGGGGCGTGGCGCAGATCGCGATGGGCACTCACGAGGCGGCCGTCGCCTACAGGAACGACACGGAGCACAACGCCGTGCACGTGACCATCCACGACAGCCCGTCGAAGAAGCGCAAGAAAGGCGCGACGCTGCTGAAGCCGAGCGCGGCGAAGAAGTCCAGCTGGCTGCCGATCCTGTTCGACCGCGCGTCCGGCAGCTGGTGGAACCCCAAGTTCGACTCGAAGATCCTCGAGTCGCAGCACTGGAACAGCGCCTTCCCGCAGGCGAAGCGGCGCTTCCGCTATGCGCTCTTCTACATCATCCTGTCGGCGGTCGCGTGGTGCGTCTACTTCGGCGTCACGTCGGACCACGAGCGCGACACGCAGTGGATCGGCATCGTCATCGGCTCGTCGCTGCTCGCCTTCATCACCGTCGGCGTGCTCGTGTTCACGTACACGCGCTACTACCGCCGCTACTACCTGTACACGTCCGTGTGCGTCGTGCTGCTGCTGTGCGCGCTCTCGCTCGGCATCCGCGTGCCCGGCGACCGCCCCAACATCATCTCGTCCGTCGGCGGCTTCACGATCATGCTCGAGATCCTGCTGCTGATGTACACGGTGTTCCCGATGCCGCTGCACTTCTGCACGCTCATCGGGGTGTTCTACTCGTGCCTCTCCGAGGCGATGTCCGTCTACGTGTTCGCCGACTACTCGGCCGACGTCGTCGTCTGCACCGTGCTGCTGCACCTCTGCATCCACATCATCGGCATCCACATCTTCATCATGTCGCAGGTGCGCACGCGCTCGACCTTCTGGAAGGTGTGCCAGTCGATCGTGTCGCGGCGCGAGCTCGAGATCGAGCGCCAGCTCAAGGAGAAGATGATCCACTCGGTGATGCCGCCGAAGGTCGCCGACGACCTCATGAAGTCGTCCGGCGATGATATCATCCTCGAGGTCGGCAAGCGGCGTCCGTCGTCACCGCGCAACAACAAGGTGTCGAAGGCGCCGTCGAAGCCGCAGCTCGTCTTCCGGCCGTTCAACATGCACCGCATGGAGGACGTTAGCATCCTGTTCGCCGACATCGTCGGCTTCACGAAGATGAGCTCGAACAAGATGGCGGAGACGCTCGTCGGCCTGCTCAACGACCTGTTCGGCCGCTTCGACAAGCTGTGCGAGGCGTGCGGCTGCGAGAAGATCTCGACGCTCGGCGACTGCTACTACTGCGTCGCCGGCTGCCCGGAGCCGATCGACGACCACGCAAAGTGCGCCGTCGAGATGGGCCTCGCGATGATCAAGGCCATCAAGCAGTTCGATGAGGACAACAACGAGGAGGTGAACATGCGCGTCGGTGTGCACACGGGCACGGTGCTGTGTGGCATCGTCGGCACGCGCCGGTTCAAGTTCGACGTCTGGTCGAACGACGTCACGTTCGCGAACATGATGGAGTCGTCGGGCAAGCCGGGCCGCGTGCACATATCCGAGGTCACCTACAAGTACCTGGACAACATGTATGAAGTGGAGGCCGGCGAGACGCAAGACGGTGAGTTCCGTTAGCCACGCGTACGCCGACAAGGAAGAGTGAGGGTAGACAGCTAGTGTATTATGGGGCAGCTAGATTATTACTGGCAGAGGGCTATTACAGGTAGATAGTTAGAATATTAGGGGTGATTAGCTAGAGTATGACTGGTGAATGGCTATCTAGTATTATAGGCAGCTAGAGTATTAGGTGTGGGTAGCTGCATAATGGTGGTTTGCTAGATATGGAATGACAGCTAGATAGCTATAGAATAATAAGTGGATAGCTATAGAATGATGGGTGGATAGCTATAGAATGATGGGTGGATAGCTATATAGAATGATGGATGGATAGCTATAGAATGATGGATGGATAGCTATAGAATGATGGGTGGATAGCTATAGAATGATGGGTGGATAGCTATATAGAGAGATGGGTGGATAGCTATAGAATGATGGGTGGATAGCTATAGAATGATGGATGGATAAGTATAGAATGACGGATGGATAGCATGATGGGTGGCTTCTTATATAGAATGATGGATGGATAGCATGATGGGTGGATTCTTATATAGAATGATGGATGGATAGCTGTATAGAATGATGGATGGATAGCTATAGAATGATGGGTGGATATCTTGAGATGAGCTTATGACTGGTGTACTCGTGTCGTTACGGCTTGCGAGCCTACTAAACACACAAGTATGATTAATCTGAATGTAAACAGCGCTGAAGTTTAATTTCAACATCCAAACTCAAGTGACAAATATTGAAGCGCATAAATGAGAAACTGCCCAGCTGTTTGCTCGCTGTGTCTATACGCGGCAATTCCCCGTGCAGCGTCCCTGCGTGACCTAATTAATTAACACTCTAACGGGATGGCTTCCACGAATCGTTGACTCGTGTGCTAAGAGAGATAAATGTAATGCGCGGGTTAGAGTGCTCACGCTGTGGGGGTTTGACCAAGATGGGGTTTTCTACAATCTCACTGCTATTCTAAAGTCCAATGCGATTTCATTCAACAAGGTTTTGGGAATTTTGCCTTGTACTTCCGAAAATAATTATCAACATCATGATAGGGTGTAGCTGAGTTCCAAAACACTTCCCGTTTATTATCTGTGTCTCTAATCACTTGTTTTCGTGCGAATCCGTTGCGACGCGAAGACTTCCAAGATAAAATTTGTAGTACGGATCATTCATAGTTCATGTGTCTGCTCGATGGTAAGTGACGTAATTATACGTGATATTGGATTGACTAATATCGGTAAGCACGCACGCGTAAGATCGGAATGTCCGCGCTGCTGAAGTTTTGGGATATCGTTGTGCCGTATTGCTTTGGAATTGATGCGAGTAAAGATAGAATCCAATGATTACGCTGCTGAGTATTTTGCGACGTAGGTAAGTTGTTAATCATACGTGATGTATTGATTTTAATGTTTGAATTTTGATGTCACACGGCTGGCTAGACAGTGTCAACACAGTTGTTGGCCAAACGTGGACAACGTAATTTATAATATTAAATTGTATATGAACCGAACGTGAATATTCGAACCAAGAGTATCAGCTGCAAGATTGGGAATTTTTTTTGGGGGGGAGGCAATTTATTGGACTAGGAAGCTGCGTTTAGAAATCCAATATGATGAATATTAGCGTGAATGTGCGGAAAGTTTACCACCAGTGTCTGTACCTTGCATGTTTTGTCAGCGATCTTGAATGACAATGCACCGACAATTGTGTGTACATACTTGATACTACATAGAGCTCTATCTTGTAATGTAATACTAATCAGACAGTGTAATTGGTATATGAAAACCTAAGATTAGCTTTTATGGGCTAATATTTGCTCTAAACTAGCCATGCGCGTCAGAGGTATGTATGTTCTGATCTTATCAGGAGTGAATAATAATAGATTATAATCTAATATATTATTCACTCCTGACTTTGTGTACATACACACGCACGCACAGTACTCGGCCGCGCGCATGCACGCACGCACGCACGCACGCGCGCAGTGTGTGCATGCTGTTTGTTTAACGTAAACTCATTACTAAATCCTATTTATTATAGCGAACTTGTTGCTACATCAAACAACATGTAACATTACGCCACATGGTATCAAGAGCTAATAATACCTATATTATTATTATTAGCTATTGATGGTATCAGGAGTAGATAATAGGGAATCCTGTATATAATAAGCTGAATAATAGGGAGATAATAGGGGTTCCCTATTTACTCCTAATATATCACTCCTATATTATCTACTCCTGATGGTATGCTACTAGCGGTGTGATCATACAAGTGAAATCAGGCAAACCATACACACTGTTTAAATGAATACACACAGCTAGCCACATTACAGTTCGGGTACCTATATGAAGCAATTATAGATTTCCTTCATCTCTGCAGGGCGTTAAGTACAGAGTCGATGCTAGCTCGTGTACGCGGGCGTTTTCATCTAGGCACCGTCTCCGGGGTTTAATTGTTTCTAATACTAATAGCTACACGTAGCCATCGCCATTTGATGAGAATCACACTAAGTTTATTATACGAGGGTTGGATGGATTCTGGTTGGGAAATAGGGCAAGTTAATAACAAGTGGGGGTACAGACGGTCCGCAGGTGGATGATATCAAGAGCTAATAATACCTATTATTAGCTTTGCTAATAATAGGTATTATTAGCTCTTGATGATATTAACTCCTGATATTAATATGATAGTTGGTTCATTGGGAACGCTCCCGCGAGTTAGATTGAGTAGGGCCCCCACTAGTCAATAGGTCGACCGACTAACGCGCTCTCTAAGATCTAGAGAGAGAGAGAGCCTCTAGCAGAGAGAGAGAGAGAGAGGCGATAGCGATGCGTGCGTGCGTGCGTGCGGGCGTGCGTGCGTGCT